ACCTTTTGTCTTCTATATTTATACTCACGTGGGTTTAATATTTCATAGCTTTGTTACTTCCCAGTTCTATAGCTTATCAACCTTTTGTCTTCTATATTTATACTTACGTGGGTTTAATATTTCATAGCTTTGTTACTTGCTAGTTCTATAGCTCCTCAACCTTTTGCCGTCTATATTTATACTTACGTGGGTTTAATATTTCATAGCTTTGTTACTTGCTAGTTCTATAGCTCCTCAACCTTTTGCCGTCTATATTTATACTTACGTGGGCTTACTATTTCATAGCTTTGTTACTTGCTAGTTCTATAGCTCCTCAACCTTTTGCCGTCTATATTTATACTTACGTGGGCTTACTATTTCATAGCTTTGTTACTTGCTAGTTCTATAGCTCCTCAACTTTTTGTTTTCTATATTTATACTTACGTGGGTTTAATATTTCTTAGCTTTGTAACTTTTACGTCAGTAGTCGGGAGTGCTAGGGCCACCTTGCATGCACCTGTGGATTGTCAACTATCATTGTCAATCTATCAATTGTCATCTATTGCAACCTGTCAACTATTAAGTCACGTATTATTGGGACGTAGTACAGGTGCGTCGTGTCACAATGTCACCCTGTCACAATGTCACCATGTCACATTGTCACATTGTTTGTCACCGTGTCAATTTCCCACTTGTCACCCTATCACCGCATCATCTGACATCCGCAGGAGGCGCGTGACAAGTTCAAGGGCTGGATGCCGGTGTCGACGGTTGCCGGTAGCGACGGCACGGAGCTGTCCTTTAAGAAGGTCGCAGACGGTCACCCGCTGCGTCTGTGGAAGTGTTCGGCCGATGTCGAGGCGCCCCCTGTTGAGCTGCTCAATCGAGTGCTGCGTGAACGGTGAGTCTTGAAATGCGGCCATCTTGGGTGGGAGGCAGCCATCTTGGGTGGGAGGCGGCCATCTTGGATGGGAGGTGGCCATTTTGGGTGGGAGGTGGCCATCTTGGGTGGGAGGCGGCCATCTTGGATGGGAGGCGGCCATCTTGGGTGGGAGGTGGCCATCTTGGGTGGGAGGCGGCCATCTTGGATGGGAGGCGGCCATCTTGGGTGGGAGGTGGCCATCTTGGGTGGGAGGCGGCCATCTTGGATGGGAGGCGGCCATCTTGGGTGGGAGGTGGCCATC